GTCATCTGCTCACAAGGACTATGAAATCAAAAGACTTAAAAGTTACACAGAGCCACCTTAATGACAGTAGTTTGGGGGAGCAGCAAAGAAAGGCAAGCTAGAACAAAACAAGGAAGTTGGGGGATTTGGATGGAGTACATGACCAGTTTCAAATAAGCAAGCCTGCCTTTGGTGATACTGAAATCCTTAAGATAGTATTGGAAATATTTTACTCATGTTTCAAAACACCATTGAAGGTAAATAGAATTCTGATTTGAGAGGCTGTTGCAGAATGGAGGCTGTCGGACTGTAGAATTTGTGCATCAGTGGGAATTAGAATAAATAACTGGAGGACCATGAAGAGGTGCCAGCTCTTTGATTTCTGCCCATTGTTGCCTACACTGTTCATCCTGCTGAGTCCACTGGGTAGCCACAATGGAGTTTATTTAATCAAAGGGCAATAAACCAAAAGATACATGGAGAAAAGATGGTCACATGTGGATTTTATTGGTTAGCATTTCCTCTGTACAAGGGTCCAGCTGTTCTCATACCTATGTCCCCCAGGGCCATTTCTACTGGGTAGCATCTGTGGGCAGCTCTGTCATCTGTAGAGCTGCCTCTGATGCTGCTTCTCTCTGTGCTTGGCTGGAAAGCTCCCTTGTGTGCAAGGTTCATCTTGAAACTATACACAGACTTGTCTCTGATTTCTACCGCACTTCCTTTTGACCTGTAGGGGTGCAAAAATGTTTTCCCAGAACTAGTTTACATGTGTGGCTACTTTAAAAAATATTTTTGGTTATGGAAAAATTTAGTCATACCTCAAAGTAAACAATAAAGAATGTGTAATGAATCACCACATGCTGTCATGTAGTTACAACAGCTATGAATTGCTAGCTGGTCTTGTATGTTTTATACTGTATCCCCATATATTTCCCCAACATCATGTAATTGTGAAGTAAATGTCAATAATTATATTATTTCATCCGTTGATATCTTGATTATCTCTCTTTTGTAAAGTTTTAAAATTTGGTTTTAGATTATGCATAGATGTATGGATTTGTGTGGGTATATGCACATGAGTACAGGTTCCTAGGAAAATTATAAGATGGTGTCAATCCCGTGGAACTGTAGTTACAAGTAGTTGTGAGCCACCCAACATAGGTGCTGGGAACATCATTGTGGTCCTCCGCAAGAACACAAACATTTCAGCTACTGAACCACCTCTCCAGTTCCTATCTCTCTTTTTTATAAAGTAACCAATATACCATATCACACTTCTTAAATGTGGATAACTCCATAGTAGACAGAAATACTTAGCTGACATTTAAGGTTTTTTTGTTTTATAAATACTTTAATTTATGCACTTATTGTTTTACATATTTCCATATATTTATAGCTTATTTTATTCAGTATATAAAGAAAGTGTTATGACTTTTTCCTCCACCATTTCTCACCATCAGGACCTTAGCGATCATAGCCCTGTGGTTCTATTGAACATGTATTTTTGTTGCTTGACTCTCCTGTCAATTCTGAGTTGGATCAGTGTTAGATTTTGTTTTATTTTTGGAAAAAATTTCATAGGTAGCATTGTGTTTGCCTTTTCGTATAGCAGTGATGAAATACCTTGACAATAACAACTTAAGGGAAAAACGTTATATCTACCTCACAGTTCCAGGATGCAATTCATTATGGTGAATCAGAAGGCAGCTGGTCACATTGCATTGACAGTAAGGAAGCAGAAAGCCATGAATGCTTGTGCTCAGCTAGCTTTCTCCTTTTAGTGCAATCCAACACCCAGGCTCAAGGAATAATGTCACCCATATTTAGAATGAAGCACCCTCCTCAATTAAATTAATCTAGATAATTTCTCACTGCTATGCTAGAGATTAATGTAATCTAAATAGTTCCTCACATGTAGGTGTGGAACCTTGTGTCCTAGGTGATACTAGATCCTATCAGATTGACAATCCCTGTCATCAATTACCTTTCATGAGAGACTTGCCATCTTAGTTTTGTTTCCCTTTTGTTATAAGCTTTGATGACTCAGTTTAAATTCATTATTTTGTTGACTCATTATTTCATTTAGACTCATTGATTTCTTAGGAAGATGCAAGAAAATATTAATTCAAGTTGGTTTCTAGAGCAATTCAGTTTTTCATGTTGCTATCATGCTACATAATTTAACTGTCTACTGCTATCACAAAAAATGTCATACCAAGTCTCTGTCATGTATAAGGAAGGTTGGTGTAGTGGCTTGAACAAGAAATATCCCAAATAGTCTCCAAGTAACTGAACACTTGGCCCCAGGTGGTGGTGCTGTTTGCAGAGGTGTAGGTGATGTAGCCTTGCTGGAAGACGCATGTAACTGGGGGCTGACTTTGATACTTCATAGCCTTGCCCCACCTCCAGTTCATTGTCTCTGCATCCTACAAGTGCTTGAAATTGTGTGGTCTCAGCTTTCTATTCCAGTTGTCTCCTTCCATGCCTACCCACGATCTCCACCATGATCAACTTTTATCCTCTAGAAATGTAAGCCTAAATATACTCTTTCTTGTATAAATTGCTTTGGTCACGGTGTTTTACCACAGAAACATAAATGTAATTAATATAGATACCATCTGTAATAAATGTGCCATCATTTATAATCACCATTCCATGGAATGAAAGATTGTTCAATAGAAGGTCTAGAAAGAATGTAATTGGAAGATTAAGAGACCAAACTTTAAAAACATGTTTCTGGAAACTTGTCCACAATAACTTGATTTTTTTCCTCAGGCCACCATGGACAGGGACCACATCATGGGCCCATACCAAGAACCTGAATGAAGGGGCCATTGTTTAATACCATAGAATAGGTAATCATTTGCTAGATGGTACAGTGGAAAATTGTCTAGCCAAATTAATTTATAACTCAGGTCTAAGTGCCTCCCACCTAACGTATTCCATCTCACTGTATGAAATAAGTTCTATTCATTCATATTAACAGTTCATTCAATAAGAATGTATGGAAGACCTATTCTGCACTGAACGTACAGTGAGTAAGAATACAGATTATGGGGCTGGAGAGATGGTTCAGTAGTTAAGAATACTGGCTGTTCTTGCAGAAGACCTGGATTCAAATCCCAGCACCCACATGGCAGCTAACAACTGTCTGTAACTCCAGTTCCAGGGAATCCAACAGCCTCTTCTGTCCTCCACAGGCATTGCACAATACGGGTGCATTTACGTACATGAAGGCAATATATGCATACACATTAAATAAAAATAATAAATAAAATATTTTTAAAAGATTACAGGTTGTGTTGGAGAGATGGTTCAGATTAAGAGCTTGTATTGCTCTTTCAGAAGATTCATGTTCAGTTCCTAGCACTCATGTTGGGAGGCTAACAGTCCACAGAAACACATGCTTGTACATAATTTAAAATAAGATAAGTATTTTAAAATGCAGAATACAACTAAACAAGGATTAGTGAAAGTACAGAATAGAAACAGCAAAATACAGCAAAATACAACAAAAAGAAATTGAAGTTGGAATAACTCTTGTCTTAGCCCCTTGGTGACATTCCTGTGAGTACAAGTCACTGGTGTGTTTTCTCAGATTTATTTTGAAAACCAAGTATAATGGGGAAAATCATCTGAAGAATGAAAAGTGAAGTATAGATAATGAGAAGCTGGATGATGGCACTGTACTTCATTTGAGCTGTGAATTTTTTCCTAGTATACACTCTCTCTGTAATGAACACAATGTATCCTTTATCTTTCCTAAACTCTTCAAAAAGTGATCCTTACACTGATGATGTATTGAAATCACATTTGAAACTGTTCCTGTCATCACTGTCTACCCAGTAAGAAAGCAGTCTTCTACATGCAATAGAATCTCAAACCAGTTAGAGGTTAAGCTTCCTGGTTTTCCAGCTCTGTGTTTCTCTCTTTTCTATACTGGCACCTAGGGTTTCTTTCATCTTGGGAACTATGCACAATGTGGTTCCTTTAATCTGTCTGAACATTAAGGCATCTCCAAGTAAACACACTGGTTTGGGAGACAGGAAGTGAACAGGGTATAAAAGGGCAAGTGATGCTAGGGGACTGTCCCTCTGTTAATCGTTTGGACTGGTTGCCTTGCTATCCCTCTCCCTCAAGTCCCTACTCATGCCCTTTGGTTTCTCTAATCTTCAATCTCCTGTCTTTTTGACAGCAGCCTGATGGGACTGATGAGTGTTTTGATGCTAGCTTTGTGTACAGCTGACCTTGGAAAATCAATCTGACCTTGTATTACCAATTCTCATTCTTTGATAAGAAAGAATAACATTGGGCTGCTTGACTTGGGAAGCTGAATAGTTTTTCTTAGCTGTCTTGACTTGTGTAGCGTTTTTGAAATATCATTTATATATGCTTTTATGGTAAAGTTGGGCCGTCTAGTTTTCTATCAACTCTATCACTACCTTTGGGCCACACCTTTTCCACACATCAGTCTTATCTGTGCTAGAGTGTGTTACATTGTGCTACTGGTAGACTGGCATCTTCAGGCAGTATGGGCTCCTGTAGGTAGACTCTAAGTCAGTGTACAAGGAATATCTCTGAAATACAAAGGCATCACCTGTACCATCTCTCTCACTGGAAAGTCAAAGATGGATGCAGTCAAGATCACAGGATGTTGTACCACATGATAAGTCTTCAGAATTCATGAGAGAGTGAAGGTGTACCAGGGCAGTACAAGGACGAAATGGTACAGAAGAACTCAGTTAAAAAATACCATGGTGTGTGCTTTACAATCTTGAAGCAATAGTTTGTTATTAGCAATTTAGTCTTCTGTTAGACATGTCTAAATTAGCAAAGTAGCAGTCCTTGGTTTAGTACAGAAAAAGTACACTCATCACAATGGCAAAAAAACCCAAAACTCAAAAACCAAAAACCAAAACTTTGACGAGAATGGCACCTGTCAGAAAAGGTTCTGGGATCACCTATCTTTTTCTTTTCCTTTGTTGTAACTCAGTATTTCACTTGAGTTCTCTTCCATACAGGTTGCCAATTTGGCCTGTTCCATCTCCAACAACGAAGAAGGGGTAAAATTAGTCCGGATGGCAGCAACGCAGATTGACAGCCTGTGTCCCCAGGTAAGCCCCTTCACTTTGCTTCAAAATCTGCTTGGTATCCTGATACTGAGAACCCTCTGTACCCAGGCTCACACATCCTTTCCTTACTTGATCCATTTCTGTCTTTGTGTGTGTGTGTGTGTGTGTGTGTGTGTGTGTGTGTGTATGTGTGTGTGTGTGTGTACTTGATAATGTATATGTGCACATGTACATGTGTGGCTACATGTCTGCATACGGAGACTGGAGGTTAGCTTCTATCATTCTCCATACAGTTCTGTTTTCTTTTTGAGACAGGGTCACTCACTGAACCTGAAACACATCGGTTTGAGTGGGCACGTTGCCAGTGGGCCTCAGGGATACACCTGCTTCTACCCCACACCCAGACTGGGGTTCTAGTTAGGCACGGCTCTACCTGGCTTTTTACACACAGAATCTGAGAGTCCAAGTCCTTATGCTTGCAATGGCAGACACTTTACCCACTGAGCCATCTTTCAGCCTCAGCCCCATATTTTTCTACCTGGAATGTTGGCTATCAATCCCGAGCCATTTAAAATTTTACCTTTCTCAAAAAGAAATTCTAACTATTCAGTGTATTCAGAATTCGGGTGACAATTATCATCATTTCCTCACATATTGACTTTGTTCTGTTTGTTTTGGGTTGTGATTTAAATGTGGTGTGTCTATTTACCTTGTCTCAACCAGTAAATTAGAAGCTTGCACATGCAGAAAGCAAGGGTTGTATTTCTCTCACATCTGTGCTAAGAAAATTAGACTTGTCCAGAAAATAGTTTCTGAAACCTGAGGCTAATTGCTATATCTTTAAAGGAAGCAACAACAGCAAAAACTAATGGTAGCTGATAACCTACTTTATCTTTCATGTTTTTGATTGTGCTCAACGCTGACAACTCATTTATCTGCAGAAACTTCAGGGTCTAGGGTTTCAACATGTTTTTTGACCCACTTCTTTCCTTCCTGAAGAATGTGATCATCATGTTTCTGAGTTATTTCTAACCAACAGGTCATCAATGCTGCCCTCACGCTGGCTGCCCGGCCACAGAGCAAAGTTGCTCAGGACAACATGGATGTCTTCAAAGACCAGTGGGAGAAGCAGGTCCGAGTGCTGACTGAGGCTGTGGATGACATCACCTCAGTGGATGACTTCCTTTCTGTCTCAGGTAATCACTCCGTAGTTTCCTTCCCAGAGAGCTGGAGGAGGCTAACAACATAAGCAATATCTCACCAATGATAATGGTCTATGATTCAAGGCATCCTTGAGAATTTGAGCTTCCAATCATTCCAGCAAATGTGATTATCACATCCTCTTGAAAATTCTTTTTTCAAAATTTTACTTATTATTTTTATTTTTTACTTGTATGAGTATATTGCCTGTCCCATGACCACAGAGATCAAAAGATGGCATCAGATTCCCCCTGGAGCTGGATTTACAGACGGTTGTTAGCCACCATGTGGGTGCTGGGAATCAAACCCTGTCCGCTGCAGGGAGTAGCTAGGGCTCTAAACCTCTGAGCCATCTCTCCAGGCCTCTTTTGAAAATTATTATCTCAAGACATTGAGTCAAGGCATCAAAGGGGAAAAAACTGCAACTTTCTGCTGAAGAGCGCAGACCCTGAACAGATGTACAAGGGAGCTTAGAGTCCGTTTTAGATTTGGTTGTTGTTTTTGTTCTTGTTTTAGCAGGATGGAAGGTGCATTTAAATCACCCATGTACTTGGATTGCTGAATTCACTTGTCTTATGCCTAAAAATAAGCAGTCACTTATTCCTATCTGGAAATATGAAGTAGTTCATTGTGATGTTAGTTTTAATTGCCAACTTAACACAACCTAGAGTCACCTAGGAAGAGAATCCCAGTGGATTGTTGGCGTTGGGTTGGCCTGTGGGCATTTCTGGAAGGGAATTGTCATGATTAAGTTAATTGATGTGCACAGCATCATTCCCAGCCCAGTGTGGGCACCGTTTCCTAGGCAGAATGGAGAAACAAAGCTAAATAATCACGCAAGGAAGCGAGCATGTATGTATTTTGCTCTTGACTGTGAATGTGATATGACTAGTTGTTTGATGTGCCTGCCTTGACTTCCCTACAACGATGGACGGTAACCTGGGATTGCAAGCTAAAATAAACTCTTTTCTCCCCTGAGTCATTTTTTAATTTATTATACTTATGTGTATAAGTGTACTGCCTGCATACATGTAAGTGCACCCCTGTCATGCAATCCCTGCAGAAGTCAGAGAAGGTGTTGAATTTCCTTAGAACTGGAGTTACAGATGGTAGTTAGCTGCCAGTGGGTTGTGGGAATCAAATATTGGTCCTCTGCAAGAGCAGCCAGTACTCTTAAGTGCTGAGCCATCTCTTCAGCTCCCCCGCCCCCCAAGTTGCTTCTTGTCAGGGTATTTTATCACAGCAACAGAAATGAAACTAGAAGAGACATTTTTCCAAGTGAGGTTTGTAATGAGATAGGTAGGACTATCAGCCACAGAATTAACCAAGAAGACACACAGCTCTGCATATTTGTCTATGAAGTGATATAAGAAATTGAGTGAAAGAAAACAGAGCTAGTCATCATTGTAATTGTAACTTTATTCTCTATGGATATCACTAGGCTGAAGTAGACAACTGAATTTGAGTGACTGTGAAGTCAGTTTGACTTTAAATGAAATTCATCAGTGTCTTTTCCAGATTCCAGCTAGTGTGCATTTTTTTCCAAGAGCTTTGTCCAGACACATTTACCCCAGTTCAGCTGGTAGTTTCTGTGGGGAGGAAGTCATGAGAAACATCATCCTGGGTTATGATATGGTTGCAACAACCAATTGACCCAGGCCTGGAGAGATGGCTCCACAGTTAAGAGCACTGGCTGCTCTTGCAGAGAACCTGAGTTCAGTTCCCAGCACCCATGTGGTGGCAAACAACTGTCTGTGACTCCAGTTTCAGGGGATCTGTGATCTCTGCACACATTTGGCACACTTACATACATACAGACAAAACACTCATGTACATGAAACAAAACAAATAAAATTTGAAAAAGCAGAACAACCAGTCAAGCTTTGAAAATTCAAATTGGCCAGGTGTTGATCCTCCAACGGGTATGTGGAACTCACACCTAGCAGCTCACTCAGCACTAACCTCAACCTGCTTTCTGAGCATTGAGTCCTGAGAGGGAAGCAAAGCCCTCACTGCTGGTGAGAGCCTGGCAGACAAGACCTGTGGCTGCAGCTGCAGAGATCACTCCTGGCAGAGGCTGCTCTACATGGGTATTTTTCCTACTCTATTTCACGAAGAAACAAAGTAAATTCCCACTGCCAGATGATGTGAACTGAGAGCATTGCAGTTAAATCTATAGGTATGATGAGCAGTGGGAAAGCCAAGTTGTCAGTGATGGAGGGCACAAGGTCAATGGGAAAATGAGCTAACACATACTCAGAGTCAATAATTTGCCCAGTTTGCTGCTGTTTTCTTGAATTCTTACCCCAATTTTATAAAGTAGGTATAAATATTTCTGAGTGTTCCTTTGAGAAAATGGAGTTGTTGAGAGGACAGGTAACAAAGTAATAGAGTATTAAGATCTAGGTCACCACCTTGTCAGAAACTACATGATGTTCACAGCACATCAGGGAGAACAGCAATATCCTTCCTTTCTACTTTCCGTTTTCTACTTTGAATTCATCTCCCACCTTTCTCCAGCCTCTGGGATCCTCATTCATGTCTCAAACCTCCTTCACAAGCCTGCCTTGCTTTTCATTCCTTAGCTGCTTGGCTCGGATGACCTATTAAAGCTGCTATTCATTTAAAATACCCCTCCATCTTGGGGTTGACTGACAAACTCAACCTGTCAACGTGTCAGCACCCCAGAACTTTTACTTCGCCAATGGCCGAGTCTGAACATTGCAGATGATGCCCTTAAATGCGTCTTATCCAGCTGTTGAGACATTATTTAGGGAGGCACATTAATAAGTACAGAGGTATGTGCTGGGGTGGGCACAAATACTAAGCTACTTTCTAGTCACTGTTTTCCATGATGATTCTTAATAAGAAGCAGAAGTTTCCACAGCTAGCACGACACACTCCTGGCTTTCCCCGAAGCACTTCCTGCTAATCACCTTCTACTCGCAGATCAGTAGAAAATACTCATTTGCTACCTTTTCCAAAGAGGAATCATTTTAGAACTTAAAAGTTTACCTAGCTTATCCTTTTCTCCAAATGCATGCCCAGAAGTTTCTAAGGAGGAGAGAGTCGAGGTGCAGAGGGGTCTTATCTAGTCATTTTGAATAGCACCAGCCAAGTTTTTCTTAATTTTCCCTGGCCCTGCCTCTTCACCACCTTTCTTGCTGTCATTTCTTTGTGCATCTCATTATTACCACCAACAAGAAAAGGCTTTGGCTCCTGCTGATAACACCGTGCGGTCCAACCCTAGTGGTACAAATGCTACAGCAGGCCACGACAGGAAAATGAACAGGCACTGTCAGGGAGCCAGGTTGGCAGAGCATACTAGAGCATGCCTTTGGAGTTGACAATTGGCAGCAGGCACCTTTCCACAGACAGGGCTTGACAAATAATGACACAGCTCATACTTTTCCTGCTGATAGGCTTCTCAGTAGTTGGGAAAACTACTTCTCACCTCTTTTCTGAGTTGGAGCCAAACATTTGCATTGATAAATTGCAAGTTTGGCCCAGAAGGTATTTTGGAATGACTTCAATGACGTTTTGTGCATCAGTTTCTTCTTAAGGGAATACTAAGCAGGAAATTCTATTTAAGCTATTCAATTTAAAATTTAAATTCTATTTAAAAATTCTCACCCATACATATTCATACACACTCTAATATACACATATACACTCATACATAGACTTACACATGCACACACATATGCACATACACACTTACATATACACATACACACATACAGACAGCTGCACTGCATACATACACTCACACATGCACATACATCACACACAGCCTTTGTTTTGAGAGGACTATAGCTTTCTTTTTTCTTTTTTATGTTAACTGAAATTGTATATTAAATTGTGGTTAATTGGTTCATGTAAAACACAAGTTTGGGGAGCAGTGACTCTAGCTATTAACATTACAGGAGCAAAACCAATTTTCAGTTGTGGCCTAGGCTAATAAAAATGTGAAATGGCTGCATTAGAATATTCCAACCTTTCCCACTGGGTAAAAAGTACAAATTTTAATACTGCTTTAGAATGAGTGCCTTGGTATTAACCGTGTGACAGTTTAATTCTTAGGTTTGCCTCACAAAATTGTAGAGATCTAAGATCTGTAAAAGCCATTAAGTAATCCCATAATGTCCAAGACTTTTATTTTGTTTGTCTTTCCCACCTCTTCTTTTAATCTTTAAGATTTTTAATTTGTTTTCTTTGAAGAAATTCATTCCGTGACTTACTTTGAATTTAGGAGCTACATACAGCTTTGTGGATTATAACAATCAAGCCATTTCTTCATCATCAGTTTTGTTTTTAAACAAATAACACAATTACATCTTTTTTGAAAGATTAAAGGTTGCAAAAATTCAGTCAGTCAAATGCTTTATGACATACTTTCACGCTGTGCTTGGTGTTAGAGTGTACCCACCTTCCAAGGTGCCTGATAGTTCTCCTCATGATATAATATGAACAAATTGTAAGTTTTTTTTAAAATTATTATTATTGTTCTAACCTGTATTCTTTTTCTACTTGGTACAGTATTTCTCAGCTTTCTTCAAGAATTGTTTCTCTTCAAAATTCTTTAGGACAAAAGTGCACAGTGACTCCATTCCTTGGATGGACATGCTGATGTGGCATGTTTTCTTTGACTACTTGCTTTCAGTACATTCTCAGCAATAATGTAAATCTGAATCATATGTGGGTGTCTTTCTTCAAAGAATTCATTGTTTATCTTGTTGTTTCTCAGCACACTGGCCTCTGATATGGGGAAGTTACCACAGGGACCTAGGAATCCATACACACTCTGCTTCTCAAGTCCTGGGATTAATGGACTGTGACACCATGCCGTTTGCCCAAGTATTGTCTTTTCATCAAAAAGTTCATGTCTATATGAACAGATACAGTGCCTTTTCAAATATATTGTGCTCCTAAATTAACAAAATACAAATATATTGTAAAACATTTTTAAATTTTATAAATATTTTATTATTTTTAT